TTATATGCGGAACCACAGAAAATTCTCTTGCAATATTGTCATCTAGAATTCCATGTAGGCCTTCTGATTTGAAAGAATGATAACTGAAAAAAGTTATGGAAAGGGTAATGTGTATTAGAGACAAGAAATTTTACTGAAGGAAATTCTGATAAATTAGACTGTTTAATTCAGAAATGGGTAGAATGAAAAGTTTCAGATCAGATTTTCACAGTTGAGAGAACATACTTGTGTCTAAATGCTGACTTACCTACTTTCTGTAGGTCTTTGGAGGAAATTATTCATTCTTCAGTTTCACTATAGGATGAGAAACAATCACATATAGTTCTTAATATCATCAAGAGAATCTGTCAAAATAATGGTTATAAGCTTTCTACCTGTGCTTTGCACTTAACAGCTATGAGCTAAACATTGGTTCGGTTTCTTTTTCCATTTTTGTCCTTATATCTCTCTTTGTTCACATATAAAAGGCTAAATAAGGACTAGAGACATGGCTCGGTAGTTAAGAGCACTTGCTGTTCTTCCAGAAGACCTGAGTTCAGTTCCCAGCACTCATGTTGGGTAGCTCATAACAGCTTGTAAATCCAACTCTAGGCCCTCTCTTGGCCTGCTCGGGCATCCCAACACATGTGGCGTACTCTTGTACACAAATAAAAAGAAATCTTGAAAAACAACTTAAAAAAAAAGACTCAGTAAATCAGTTTTCCCTTACGCAAAATAGTCTTACTTCATTTTCCTCCTTTTCTGCAGTTTTAAATATATTCATGGATATTGTATTTATCATAGCATTATAAATGCGTTACTTTTGTTTGAGCATATAATTATGAATAAATCTATTATTTGTACTAGTTCTCCCTTTAGTTTTAATACTTATCTAAAAGCTTCTTTAAGGGAATAAACTGTTGGTCTATCAGCTTCCTGATAGAAGATATTGTTGTCTTTTCATGGAGTCAATAAAAGGTGTCAGTTCTTCTTGGCGCTTTTACTGCACCTCTGTGCCAAGTTTATAACCTTTAATTATAGGGCGATTCATTGAGAGTCACGGAATTGTAGCACCTTTAGAAGAGACCTCAGAGTCTATTTTGAAGAGTCAAAGGTAAAGAGGCCCTTAGAGAACAAGTTATTTGGCAGATGGGATGGACCAAAGGAGAAAACAGGGGCCGGAATCGCATTTCCTAGGTCCTGGTGACTTGCTGGCTTCACTGTGATTAGTTTTTATGCTCCCATTAAGCCTAGTTACATCACTTTTAGCTCTCTTCTGAAATGTATTGTAACAGACAGTTTCATAGACCCACAAATGCTCTGATCATTACTAATTTGGGAGGCATCTTCTGTTCTCTTATTTGAATCCTTCTGTAAAGGTTTTCTCATTACAACCCATATGAAAGTAGGGGTGTTCAATCATCGGCAGTGAACTGCTTATTTCATAATTAAGACTTTTCCCTTCCTATCATTTTTCTAGTTCAGTGCCTCAGAGTGTGGGAACAAGAAGTTCTGTATTAGGAGTCCTTTGAACTGTGACCCAGAGAAGGAGGCTGCCTGCGTCTTCTTGTCCTTTACCACACATGACCAGTCAGTGATGGTTGAAATGAGCAGTCCCAGTGAAGGCTACGTGTCATTTGCGTTTTCTCATGACCGGTGGATGGTATGTACCTCTTGCTTGCATAATCTGTGGTGGAAGGAGGGCTGCTGTCACGAGCTCTTATCAACAGAGATTAGCTCTGTCTTCTAGAGTTAAATGATCAGAAATATGGGTAGAATGGGAAAGGAACAACTAATTAGAACCCGTCTGAATCTAAACAGCTGTTTCACGATTTTAACAGTTGTGTAGTTACGTATCTCTAAGAACAGGATGTCTTAAGGTCAACTGGTAGGATAATTTTATGTGTAGTAGATTTTCTCCTTTCTGTCTCTGTCAAAAAGCAGGAATCACAGAAAAAAACAGGACCGCATAAAATTCCACGTTTGCAATGCCTTTCAAACCATTGTTCACTCAAGCAGGCGGAGCTCAAGCTCCGTTTCTGATGTTGGTGTCTCTATTTTGGTCGTCATGGTGCATTTCCCATACAAGGAGTGAGGCCTGTATATGTGACCAGAATTTCTAATTCCTGCTCTTCCTGGGGTTGGGGTGGGGTGGGGGTGGGACATGGGTTGGAGTTAGTGGTCCTGTAGGTGGCAGCCTTGTGCTGTGGGGAAAAGCAGCATCCGGTTTCCCCAGGGAGAGGAAAGAGGTTGTGGCCAGGGCAAGTGTGTCCTATTTACGAGGGGTTGGTGGTGAAGACAGGTGTGATTATCAATGGAGCAAGCTCCTGATTTCTGAATTAGGAAAGGAAAGAGTTTTTGGAGAGGTTATTATTTTTTTTTTAAATCAGGGTTTAAGCTTAACACCACTTCTTTAGCGAGCCATATATAAATAAATAGAGAAAAGAAGGAAGGAAGAGAACTGAGATGGCTGTATAGAATGCAGACATTCTGAAATGCACTGTAGCCATGTGTGGTGGTGCATGCCTGTGTTCCCAGCACTCTGTAGGTGAGGTAGGAGCATCAGGAGTTCAAGGTCATGAGAAGTTTGAGGCCAGGCTGGGTGATGCTAAACCCTGACTCAAAAAACAAGAAAACCAAGAAGAACATTGCATGTTGCCTCATGTACTTTCCAAAGTAACAAAATTCCGATCTTTCCTCTTAAGAGTTACTTTTATTAGAAGTTTGATCCATTTTTATGGAATAGAATACAGTAATTGTTCAAAATATTTCCCCCGCTTTCCCTCTGCAATTACCGCCAGACCTGCAGCTTATCCTCTTGGGTGTTCTCAGTATTAGTAAATGAATCAAATTTGGTGCATGAGGTGAATAATAAGGTTGAGGCAAGAATCAAATGTGATTATACAGCAACAAAGGTGGAAGCAATGCCTGTTGTAGGAATGGAATGAAATTGGCTGTGAAACAAATTCTGAAGTTGAGTCCAAATAGGATTAAAAAGCCTTGTTGGATAAATACACGGTTTCATTAAGGTTCATCTCCGGGGCACAGCATTCATTTACATATATCATATTATTTACATATTATTATATACTATATGTATTAGTCACTGAAAAACACAACTTATTCTCATAACAGCCCAAATTCATGTTATAATAATGTAATAGTGTATTTCCCTTCACTGGTCACATAAAACCTGAGAGGGAAGGATGGTACGCTGTTGAGTGTGGTGACTGGGTGACTGACAGGTAGGCTAATTCTTTCCATTGTAAATTGTAGGTAGAGGTGGCACAAAAGCATTTATCTCTAATTCAAGATATATTTATCTTACTTAGAAATCTTATCTGTCCTCTTATAGTGCTCATCAAAAATGTTTAGAAAAAAGACTTAATTATGCAGGTGCAGTTGATTTGCAGTGCAATCCTGCTTAATGATTAAATCAGCTGTACACCTGGTTCCCTAAATTGGTGGAAATAGATCATCTTCAAGATATATTTTTAAAGTGATTATTTCTATTTTAGGTTGTTATCTTCAAAATTTGTCTTATTTTTACCCATTGTATAGAATGCAAATTTAAATACTGAAGATGTTTGATATTATAAATACTGACTGGATAACCTAAAGTCTACTACCTTTTTAAAAATTGGCTTGTCAATTGGCAATTGTTTTGCTATTTGACCTCATCATTAAAATTGATGAAGAGTATAATTTTCTATATTTTTGCTAACAATGGCTTGCTAGTCTTTGAATTTTAGTCTTCTCTGTGATATTTTATTATATGATATAAAGTTTATCAGGTATACACATTATGAGCTTCTATCCTTCCTCCTTCCCTGGTAAGTTGAAAACAAAAAAACATGGACTCAATTTCTCCAACTCTACTATCCCAACACAGATCACTTCTGTGACCCCCAAAAGGTAGGGATTTCTGCCCACAAGTCAAGCAAGCAATTGATTTTGCAGCAGACATTCAACTCAGTTTTTTTTTTTTTAACCTTTTTGGGGCAAGGTCTTCCTGTAGCCACTGCTGGCCTGTACCTTGCTCTGTAGACCAGGCTGGCTTTGAACTCACAGAGATCCACTTGCCTTTGCCTCCTGAGTGCTGGAACTAAAGGTATGTACCACCACACCTGGCCTCAACTCAGTTTTATCTACTTGAAGGTAGCATCAGATCCATAGGTTGAGGGCTCAGTCCCCAAGACCAACCTTCTTCCTACTTCAGACACGTCACAAACCCTGGGTTGTTGGACTTATGCTTTTGACTGTACGGAAGGCTTCCCAACATTCTCTCCTAAGATTGGACTAGTTTTCTAGAGCTATTCACAGAATCCAGGAAATACTTCAGCTTACTGGTCTATTCTATTATTCTAGATGATTCTGCAAAGGATACTGATAAAGAGGTTCACATGACCAGGTGTGTACAAGAGAAGAGCCCTTGAGCTCCCATGCCCTCCTTAGGCACACAACATTTCAGGAACCTCAAGTTCAGTTGTCTGGAAGCTCTCTGAGCCCTGCCCCTTTGGGGTCTTGTGGAGGCTTCATTACATAGGCATGAATCATTGATTTCTGATCATTGATGATCAGTTTAACCTTCATTACCTTCTGTCCTCTTGGTAGGTTGGGTGTTGGGGTTAAGGTCCTAAACCTTTAATCTTGTAGGTACCAGAGGTTACTTTGGAGAGTCCAAAGATTACAGAAGCTTTGTCTTGGAGAAGGGGTAAAGACAGAATATATGCCTTGCAATATTATACTTGCCTTGTATTATCTTGCTGCCTATGAAATCTTTCAATGGCCAAATTCTAGGTTATTCCCAGTTCTGACCTTATTTGAACTAATACTGTCAGTTTTAGTGCTGGGCTTAGACAGCACAATTAACATGAATTAACAAGATTATTGATTTTTTTTTCTCTCCTAGAGTCTCCTTGTTTTCCTTATTCTTGGTGATCAACAACACTATTAGAAGTCACTCACCATTATTGTTTACTTGTAAGGTACCATTCAGAGTCATCCACAGAGCATTATATTGTTACCATCCTCCCTGGTTTGGCAGAAATTTTGATTCTGACTTGGATTTCTTCTTTTTATTCATCTCTCAGGCTCTCTTCTTCCTGCCTTGAACTTCTCTTCTCCATTGATGTTTGCTTCTATTTTGTGGTATTGGGGATTGAACTCAGGGCCTCAGCACATGTTATGCTTAGCTGCATCCCCAGCCCCAACTTTTCCTTTTAAAAGGCTTTAAACCTATGTGGAAAGAATAGTACAGTGAACTCCATTACCTAGTCACCTACATTGGCCAATTTATCTTTTTACTTTTATGTCCATGTTCATCTCTCTGACTTGGTGATTTATGTGGTGCATATAAATACAATTTTTTTCTCTTGAACTACTTGAGAGTAAGTAGATTTGAGAACATTTCATTCTAAAACATTCAGCTTGTCTGTCCCAAGAACAGGACAGTTCTCTTGCAATTACCACAATTTTATCTCATTGAGAAAATTTGATAATGACAATCATTTTATGCACTGTATAGTTTAAAAATATTTTATTTATATTTTATATGTATGAGTGTATTGTCTGCATGTGTGTAAGTGCACCCGTGTTGTGCAATGCCCAAGGAGGTCAGAAGAGGGCATCAGATTTCCTGGAACTGGAGTTATGGATGGCTGTTAGCTACCATGTGGGTACTGGGAATTGAACCCAGGTCCTCTGCAAAAGCAGCCTCTGCTCTTAACTATCTGGGGTCCTCTCTTCAGTCTCAGTTTCCTGAAGTTTCTATTGAGGTCATTCTTGTTTTTTTATCCAGCATTCTGCTTGATTTTTAATGTTATTTCAGTCTCTGCTAACAGAGAGGAGCAAAGGAATTCACCACTTACAGGAGAAGAGACTCACAAGAAACCACAGCTTTGCTCACTTCCCTCTGCTTCTCTGGGCTGCACAACCCCCCAGCCTCTTTCTTGGGCACCCATTGGGCCTTGACTCCCTCAGCCTCATTCACTCTCCCAGCTCCCGCACCCGGTCTCTCCTCCTAGCCTGAGTACTGGCCCATTTCTTGTCTTGGCATCCCAGACACCAGGTGGGGCCGACCTCTCAGCCAGAACCACCACTGCTTCCTGATGCTTTGAATCCAGACCAACTCAGTTCCTTCTCATGGTCCCCAAGAGCCCTCTGGGCCTGGTCCCACCCTCACCTCCCTCTGCTTCCCTGGGCTGGACAACCCACCAGCCTCTTTTCTGCATAAGTCCCTTGACTCCTCCAGTCTTAAGTGCACCCGTGTTGTGCAATGCCCAAGGAGGTCAGAAGAGGGCATCAGATTTCCTGGAACTGGAGTTATGGATGGCTGTTAGCTACCATGTGGGTACTGGGAATTGAACCTGGGTCCTCTGCAAGGGCAGACAGTGCTCTTAACTGTTGAGCCATCTCTCCAGCCCCCGGCACTACATATTTTATATATCAATTCCCCATTGGTCCCAATAAAATTCCTTTGTAGCTACTTAAAAAAAAGTTCTTTTCTTAGACCCAAGCTGTCACTGCTCAATGCCTGTATCTGTGTCTTGTTGCTCTGCCTTGCTTTAGAAGTTACCCCACCTTTCTTCTTGATTCTGTTTTTTTTTTTTTTTAAGGCCAATTACTTTGTAGAGTGTTCTGCTGTTTACAGTAGATTCATAT